TCGCCCATTTCAACTCCCCCTCCCTACTCCCCCTCCGACATGTCCGCCCTCGGCCTCCTTCAGTGTCGCAGCGACTCGGAACACAAATTTGAAGAACAACACTTTATCTTCCACCTGAGCAACCTACAGCCCAGAGGGCTCAACACTGAGTTCTCTAATTTCAAATAACCTTACCACCCATCCCTGCCTCCCCTTCCACCTCCTCCCCTCCATTCCACCTTCTGACCCTCCCTTCCAGCCACCAACTGGATTCATCCCTCCCATCGACCAACCAGGTCGTACTTACCATCAGTGTCCACTTATCACCACCATTCCACTCCACCCCCCATCTCTTTATCTGCAGCTCCCCCTACCCCCACACCCAGTCCTGAAGAAGTGTAGTACCCAAAATGATGACTGCTCCTTTCCTCCAGATGCTGCCTGGCCTGCTGTGTTCTTCCAGCCTCCTGTCTGTCTACCTTGGATTCCAGCATCTGCTGTTTTCTTGTCTCATCAGTCTAAATATATCTCCCTCTTTCTACCTCCATCTCTCACCAGGTCTCTCTCTCTCTCTATCTATCTATCTTTCACTCTCACTCCTCTCCCTCTCCCTTTCGCTCTCTCTCTCTCTTGCTCTCCCCCTCACTCTCACTCTCGCTCTCACTCTCTATCCCACTCCCTCACTCTCATTCTAACTCCCTCTCGCTCTCTCTCTCTCGCTCTCCCCCTCACTCTCACTCTCTCATTCTCACTCTTTCTCATTCTCACTACCCCTCTCTCTCATTCACTCTCACTCTCTCTCCCATTCTCCCTCTCTCATTCACTCTCTCATTGTCCCTCACTCTCTCCCCTCATATTCTCTCTCCCTCTTACTCACTCTCACTCCCTCTCTTTCTGTCTCTCTCTCCCTCATTCTCTCCCCCTCCCCCTCCCCCTGACTAGTTTGTGTATGAACATTCCTCTCATCCCACTGTTTGCAACCTGGCGCACTCTCCGCTCCCATCACACTCTTTCCTCCTGGAGGAGGAGCTGTCTAACAAACCCCTCTCCTCTCTGGTGGCTGGGTTGGTATTGCTGCAAATTCATTGACCTGCAATTTAACATCTCACAGACTGATTGATACTAAAACCATGATACACTTCAACTTAAATTGGGGGAAACAGATCTTCCGTCTTTCCCGAAGTAATCAGGGTTTGGAAGTGATGAAGCCTGGTGACGGCGCGCTGAAGTAACAACACAGGACTCAGTAAATATTTTAACAACATCTTATTATTATCAGAGTGAAGTGATCACACCCAACAAGTTCGATCAAAGCTGAGGGTGACCTTTTAGATGTTTATAAAATCATGAGGGGCATGGATAGGGTGAATAGACAAGGTCTTTTCCCTTGAGTGGGAGAGTCTAAAACTAGAGGGTGTAGGTTTAAGGTGAGTGGGGAAAGATCTAAAAGAGACCTAAGAGGCAACTTTTTCACACAGAGGGTGGTGCGTGTACGGAACGAGCTGCCGGAGGAATTGGTGGAAACTGGTACAATTACAACATTTAAAAGGCATCTGGCTGGGTATTTGAATAGGAAGGGTTTAGAGGGATATCGGCCAAATGCTGGCCAATGGGACTAGATTAATTTAGGATATCTGGTTGGCGTGGACAAGTTGGACTGAAGGGTCTGTTTCCGTGCTGTATAGCTCTATAACTCAAAAGTTCTGCAGCCTTGCCTCAACTGAGAGGAGGAGACTCCACAAATTTCTCCATCCTCAGTAACTGGGGAGCCCAGTGCCAAGTGCAAATGTCAAGGGGTCTCTCAATGATGATGTTTCTAATCAATCTGTTCAGCAACGTTCTTACACATCTGTGGTGCAGGTGGGACTTGAACCCAGGCCTTCTGACTCAGTGGTAGGGACACTACCACTGCACCACAAAATCCTGGGCTCTTGGTCTGGTGTCTAGGCCCAACCATCTTCAGCTGCTTCAACAATGACCTTCCCTCCATCATGAGATGTTTGCTGATGATTACACAATGTTCAGCACCATTTGCAGCTCCTCAGATACTGAAGCAACAAGATCTGGACAATATCCAGGTTTGGGCTGACAAGTGACAAGTGACATTCGCGCCACACAAATGCCAGGCTATGACCATCACCAATAAGAGACAATCTAACCATCATCTCTTGATAGTCAATGATCTCACCATCACTGAAACCCCACTATCAGCATCTTGGGGGTTACCATTGACCAGAAACTGAACTAGACTAACCCTTTATAGTGGTTACAAGAGTGGATCAGAGACTAAGAATCCTGCAATGAGTAACTCACCTCCTGATTCTCTGGGTGATGATGGTACCTGCTCTTAAACAAGGAATTTTTTTCCCAACACATTGTAATGAAAGGCAAAGAAATAATATGATTTTAATAATTTGTATAAAACATGATATGCTGATATTTCTGGATCAGCTGTTATAATGACTATATGGAGGAGTTGTTATTATGTTGTCACATTCCAGCCAGCAATCAGTCACATTCAAACATGGTGGATATGCAGTCAGTAATTCCAGAGTTTGTGCCTCTCACTCTGCACAGCAGTAAGGCAGACGTGCAGGAACTCAATAATCAGCCAGTTACATTTTAACAGCAATTTCCGTTTATACCCAACTTTCTATCACTTTCTCAACCAATCCCGACATGCAGCATCAACAGTGATTGGCAGGCAGTGCAGCCAATGCCAACACAGCAACTCTTTTTCTGTAAAGGAAGATCCCACAAACATAGGTGATTGGTTAATCTGTTCTCGATGCTGTAGGTGATTGGTAATTGGTTAATCTGCTATTGGTGCTGTAGGTGATTGGTTAATCTGCTCTCGATGCTGTAGGTGATTGGTTAATCT